ACAGGCTTTGACTCTTCTTTGAGGAGCCCACAACCATACTCAAGAGTGTCTTTCTTCTAAAATGTCTCTTAACCCTTGTGCTTAAATCTGTTTAAATTCTTTTATTAAACTCCAACTCCTGAAATTCTCTTTGTGTACAAGCCACAAATCCTAGATTGGCCTGAATCAAGGTCTCTAAAAGTCAAAGGAAAACTTCTCAGGCTAGTGAGGATGACACCATTGAGCTGTGCTTCCTGCCTCTGTCCCCTAAACACTGATATCTTCAAGACTCGTCTGGGAGTCACCTGAACCACTGTTCGTGAATTTCCCCCCATTACAGTTTAGGTGCTCTGTCCTCTTGCTTTGTGTGTTACCTTGGTTTCTGAGTTTTAGCACTAATGTCAGATATAAACACAAATTCTGCTAGTTTACAAATCCTCATATGCCAAGTGAGGATGCTGTCTTGTCAAATGTTAAATCTTAAGCCAGGCCTCCACTTCTATTATGGCCCTCAACCATGTGGCAGTCATGCAATTTTACCCTAATATTAGATACAACTAAAAGAATATATCACTTTCAAATTTAGGAGAATCAAAGGCAGCATTCATTTCTCACAGACATTTGCATACACGATGAAACTGTAAGCAAAATCTTTCAATTCAATCAATTGAAAGCACCTTTGTGTGCTGACCTATCTCCTTGGCAAGAATGTACATCTCTCAAAAATGTCTTCTTCACATTCCCTCCCTTTCTAAAATCTCACAGTCCTAAGACTGTCCTAAGACTCCCAAAAATTCAACCTCCTTTGGAAAAATGAAAACAGCTTTGACACCCAACACCAAATCCTTTAGCTTCAACTCTTCCTTGGAATGGCTTTGGTCCTACGCTATTTTGTGTCTTTACTTGTCACTTTTCTGGAATAATTAAGTATTTGCTTTGTACATAGGTCACCATGTGCCTTAACTCAAAAGCATTTTTCCTATGTTGAAGTAATGCCTATTGCTATCTACTGGCTAATTTCACTGGTACATGCACCATGGCCTTCATTGCTCCTGACACTGAAGATGTTCCTATCAAGCCCTCCCTGTACCCCTTTTAGGGATATCTCAACCTAAGAAAGCTATTCAACTGATACCCTCTACTACCAGTAACAGATATCATATGAGTGTAGGTATAGGATTAGGTGGACATGGACTGGCCTCTTTTGTTTCCTGTTGCTTTGATAACATATGCTGATAAAAGCAACCTAGGGGAGAATAGGTCCACGTTAGTGGATAATTCGAGGTTACAGCCTACCACTGAAGAGAAGCCACAGCAGCAGGAGCTCCAGGCAGCTGGTCATAGTGCCTCCACAGTCAAGAAGCAGAGACTCAAACCTCTTCCCTAGGGTTCAAGGAACATCACAAAAGAGAAAAAATATAAGAGCCAGAGGGTGAGCTGGAGAGCTGTGATACGGTCTTCTGGACATGATGTGGCCACTGCACTCCTGAACTCACCACTGCTCTGATTACCTGGCACAAGACCTGCACAAGATCAAGCCCATTAAATGAGTCAACATCCCAATAGGCAGTGCTAATTGGACGTGAAGAGATAAGGAGGGTATGATGGGGCTGCCTGGGGTGGGCTGGGGGGGCGGTGATCAAGATACATTGTTTAGATGTATGGCACTGTCAAAGAATAAATAAAATCTACTAAAAAAAATCCTTAAAAGCAAACAAAACAGAGCATTGAATACATGCATGCTTGTGCTCAGCTTGCCTTCTCTAATTCCATACATTTCAGGGTGCCCTGTCCAGGGAATGGAACTGTGCCATCCACGATGGGTATATCTTCCCATTTCTATTAATGTAAGCAAGATAATCTCCCAGAGACATGCCCAAAGACCAACCCAGTCTAGATCATCCCTCACTGAAACTCCCTTCTCAAGTGACTTTAAATTGTGTCAAGTTGACAATTAAAATGAATCATTAATCATCAACATCAATATTTATCTCCTATCACCAAAGACCCTTTGATCTTCCTATGATGTCATACTCTGGCTTTTGAGGTCAAAAAATAAAAGCAAACTTCTCATACTTGAACAATCAGGCCAAGACTTTCTGGAAACCAATCTCTAGTGACTCACAGCACTGCACACAAATGGCACTCTCAAGAAAATCAACTTACCCTGTGAAACTTACTATTTAAGATGACAATTATGTCTATCTGTCCACTCCTATGGACCTCACACAAATGACCACCAGTTAAGACCAAGACACTTCCCTTTTCATTATTACTAAAACCTTTTATTCCCTCTCATTGGTATGATCCTTTCTCTGGAAACTCACCTTGCTACCTCCTTACAATGTACTTCAATAAATTCTCTTTGTTATGTCTCACTGGATTCTTTTCACTACCTGCATCACCAGCTATCCATAAAGCATTCAATTGGCATACATTACTCATAACAATTTAGTTATTAATGAAGAAATAAAAAAATAGTCAAGCAGAAAAGAAATCTTCAATGACCTGGGACATACATACAAAGTTGATCAACGCTTCACAGGCATTGTAGAACAATGGAAGAAATCACAAGCACTGTGCAACATGGGCAAGAGCCAGGACTGTTGGCTTCTCTCTGACCTCATCACAGCTGAGCAAGGACTGCAGGCCACCCTGAGCTGCATAGCAAGAAACTATCAAAGCCTCTGGGCAAAGAAACCTTGTTTGAAATTGGAAAAGTTCATTTCATTTCTCCCTGAACAATAGTCAGTTTATTGTATATCCAAACATGGAAGAGACTTGAGAGTCTAAAAGCTGCCAACTAGAGTCACAGTGCCTCAATGACTGTTTACAGAAATGAGCATCAGAAGGAGTTCTCACAGGAAAGAGTTTACCATTAACACAACTGGAGATTTTAACGAATTTTTAAAATGCTTAATATGGGGGCTGGAGAGATGGCTCAGCGGTTAAGAACATTGGTTGTTCTTGCAGAAGACCTGGGTTCAAATCCCAGCACCCACATGGCAGTTAACAACTGTCCCTAACTCCAGTTCCAGGAGATCCAACAGCCTCTTCTGACCTCTGTGGGCATTGCACAACATGGGTGCACTAACACGTGCAGGCAATACACACATACACATAAAATAAAAATAATAAATAATTAAAAAAAAAACAACCCCCCCCCAAAAACAAAAAAAATGCTTAATGTGCCCAGTGCCCTAGGACGAGGTGGATTCCAGCAAGTATTTCAAATAACATTTAAATTAAAAAAAAAAAAACTTAAAAAAATACAGTCATGACAAGCTACTAAACTCTACTAATATTGTTTTACAATCCCTGGCAACACACTATGACAAGAAAATGACAAAGACTTAAGATTAAGCTGGTCATGGTGGCACAAAGCTTTAATCACAGAATTCAGGAGGCAGAAGCAGGTGGATCTCTATGGGTTCTAGATCAGAAAGGGCTACACAGTGAAACTCCTTCTCAAAAACAAACCAAAAAAGAATTTAAGATTATAAAGAGGTGGAGAAGTGGCTCACAGCTACAATCCCAACACATGGGAGGTAGAGGCAAGAAGATCACCAGTCCTAGTTTGTCTGAATTACCCAGCTGGTTTCAGGCCCAGCTGGGATATTGAGACCTTGTCTCAAAAACAAAACAAAACAAACACAGTCCACCTATCCCCACATATCACTAACATGTCACTATGGAGAACACAGAAAAACACATGGAACTGAAACAAACATATAGACAAAATGTAGTAATATTTGTTTTTGTTGTCTTTAATATTTGTAATAAACTAATCAAGTAAAAATAAAAGGAGAGACATTCCACGACTGTAGATAAGAAGTCTCAATACTATGTCAGTTCTGAATATCAACTATAGAGTCAACAAAGTTCCAACAAAAATGCTTGCAATTTAGGTTATCAACAACGGAAAAGTTAAAAGATTACAAAAGATTACATGGAAAGAAAACAAAAAGCAACCATCAACGCAATACTTTAAATAGTCCACACAATGACAGTGACTTCAAGACCTCTTATACAACTACAACAATAAAGACTAGAATTTGAGAGAGTACACTGATCCACATAACAGGAGAATTCAGGAAAACAAAATTATCGCCAATTTCTGACAAATGAGCCAAGGACACTCAATACGTACAGACTTACTAACCAATGTTACTGAACCACCTTACATGTAATTACAGGGCTAGAGAGATGGCTCGGCTGTTAAGAGCACAGGCTGCTCTTGCAGTGGACCAGGGTTTAGTACCCAGCACCCACATGGTGGCTACTGATCGTCCAGTTCCAGGGGACCCGAAGTCCTCTTCGGGCGTTCACAGACACTGCACGACACGGGTGGGGAGCACTTGCATACATGCTGGCAAAACACTCATGCACACAAAGTGAAATCTTAAAAAACTTAAAAAAAAATAATGCCGGGCGTGGTGGCGCACGCCTGTAGTCCCAGCACTTGGGAGGCAGAGGCAGGCGGATCTCTGTGAGGTCAAGGCCAGTCTGGTCTTCATAGTGAGTTCCAGGGCATCTGGGGGTACAGGGAGACCCTGCTTCAAAAAGAAAAAAAAAAAAAAAAAAAAAAAAAAAAAAAAAAAGTTACAGATTTTACAGCTTCCACAAAAATTAACTCTAAGTAAATCCTAAACCTAAATGTTAAGTGTAAAGTGTAAAGTGCAGAACTTCTAGAAGATAATAAAGAAAGTAGACTTTTTTGAGTTTAGCAACCTGCCTTCCAGCCAAAACTAAAAGCAGGATTCACGTGCCAACGCCGAACAGTGACGTCACAAACAGCGGCCTCTCCCGCAGGCGGAGCCTTCCGCTCCCCACGCTCTGAGCAGGAGCAGACCCGGTCAGTAGTCGGTGGGGCGAGGCTGCCCCAAGGCTTCGGGAGGGCCCAGGTCGTCCTATAGCCGCGCCGCCCCGCCCCGCCCCGCCGGTGGAGGACCCAGCACAGCCCGCTCTGGCGGCTCCAGCGGCCGCTGCTCCGGTCTGCACACGGCCGGCCCCGCGCTCACCATGGCCGGGTTCCGGTGCTCTCCTCAGCTCCCCGCAGGACGCTCACTGCGCAGCACTCGCGGATACCCCCTCAGCTGCTCAGTGAAGTCCGGAATATGGCGGCCGGAATTAACCCGCCTCCCGTTGCGGTTCGGCGCTCTTGGTTGGACCACCGGCCCGAGACTCTGATTGGTTAGTGAAGCTTGTGTGACAGGAGCAGCTTCCTCAGGGATAAAGTGAGCAGAAGGGAGTAGGTAAGCAGCACGGCCGTTACATGTCCTGGCATCTCTCCAGGCACTGACCTGTCCCAGCTCTGGGCAGATTTCCATTTAAGCAGAACTTGCTCTTGCCTCCCCAAACTGGCATGGTTGTCTTCTTGTACTCAGTAGAAAATTCCCGTTTTTCGTCCTGGGCAGGCTCGCCAGGCTGTAATGCACAGCCCATTACACAGCGTCCTTGCCTCTCAGCTGGAAGGGCGCCGGACCCACATTAGGTCAAATTGAAACAACTTGATATTCAGCCAGGCTGCGGGAATTTCGATAAGGCGTGCCCAAGATTGTTCACATCTTATCTCTTAGGCTGCACATTTTTAGATAAAAAATAACACTTCCCAAGCCTTCTGTAGAGACACCAACCTGTTATGCCAACACTCAGGAGGTGGAGGCAGGACCGGCAAAACCAGCTTGGGCTGCAGGAGACCTTGCCCCCCTCGGCTCCCATTGAAGCAAACAAAAACACATATGAAAAGGGAAACAAAAGTGTAAATACATATAAGATAGAGCGTAGGAAGAATAGTAAGCTTTAGAGCCCCAATCCATGTGATGGGGAATCAAAACAAAACAAAATAAAAAAACCCAACAACCCCCCCAAATGAAGGATACCAAAAGTTGATTTTAAAAAAAAACTGAATTGATATACTTTTAGCTGTATTGCTTTGAAAATGAAAGATTCGGATTGCTAAATTCAGAAATGAATGTAGAGCTGAGAATGCTGGTGTAGGCCTGTAAAGCCGCCACGTGGAAGCTTGAGGCAGGAGGGTCACATGTTTAAGGCCTGGCATGGCTACAGACTGAATTCAAGAACAACCTGGGCAACTTAAAATTCCTCAAAATAAAAACATTTTAAAAAGAGAGGCTCTTGCTGGGCATGGTGGCATCTCCAGAGCCACCCTAATTTCACTTATCAAAAGAGGAAAGAAAAAAAGTTTCTTAGCGCCCTTTTGACATATAACTTGCGAGCCACCGAAATGGTATGTGTGGCTAATGTTCAGACAATTATGCATGACTTGCCTTTGAGGAGCCTGTACTCACACCTGGGTGTGTCTTACTCTGCAACAACATCCAATCATCTTGGGGTGTTTTGCATTCTTTCCTGGAGAGCCTCTTTCTCAACCCTCAGGCTTGAAGCCATATAAAAATACTTTAATAAAATAAACTGTTTCTTCATAAAAAAATCCTTGAGGGAGGACAGTCCAAGTGACCTGCCCTACTCTGTGAGTGAGGTCATCAAAAGAAAATAGAGGGCTGGAGTGATGGCTCAGCTGTTCAGAACACTGTTCTTGCAGAAGACCCGGGTTTGAATCCCAGCACCCACATGGCAGCTAACAACTGTCCATAACTCCAGTCCCAGGGGATCCAACAGCCTCTTCTGTCTTCGGAGGGCATTGCATGACACAGGTGCACTTACGTACATGCAGGCAATACATGCATACACATAAAATAAAAATAATAAAATATTAAAAAAAGAAAAAGAGAAGATAAGTATTGGGATGGAGCCAGATGCAAAAGAAAGCATTCCTAAGATCTAGCACTGCATAATAGTATGTATTAGGTGGAACTGGTTGAGAGTGGGAGGATGAGGAACCACTGGATGGAGTGTCACAACCCCCTTATTAATCAGACAAAGACCTGGGATTCTCCATTTGTTGGGGTTTTTGCTAACACTAAAATAGGGGTATTATATGGGCTAGAACAATCAATCCTTGCTTTTTAAGTCCTTGAATTATGGGGATTAGTCCCTCTCTGACCTGAGGCTTTAGAGGATACTGCTTTTGATCTGGGGAATAGGTAGGATCTTCAGGATGCATGACTGCAGGAGTAGTCATTTTAACCCTCCCTGTCATGCGTACTTCATTTGTGCATACAGAGACCTTGATAGTGCTTTCTATTAAGGATAAGCAACAGTGATGCCTAGGAGGGAGAAGTAATTTAACATTGACTAGACAAAAATTCTCTTTCTAATAGAGGAGCCAATATGCCAGGGAGTATCAGAAATGGAAGTCTCCCCAGGAAAAGCAAGTGGTTATGTGAAATAACACTCTTGGGACAACCCACTATGCCCCAAATAGTGCTTCTGTGGGAACTGGCAGCCAGAGGAGAAGGATCATGCTGAGAACCAAGCTCCTCAGTGAACCATGAGCTTGACCTTATTGTCCTCTCTAGTCAACACTGCCCAATGTAGGCACAATGGGAGGCCCTAGGATCCATCATTGTATGGAAGATGAGGCCTCGAGACCTAATTGGTTCTGAGATACCAACTCTCCCAATGACTGCCCTTCCAAATAAACAAGATCCTGGGGGAGGTCCCACTTTCTGGTGATATTCCTTATGGATGTGGCTTCCTTGTGCACAGTTATGGGGTTGGGCAGTGTCTGAGAGTGAAGGGAATCTTGAAGGGTTGGCGCTCATAGCGGCCACCAGTTTTCCATGGCATTTACCCTTCTTTTTCTTGGTCACAACTATAAAAGATCAAATTTTCTGCTTGGCCATAATCATCCAAGGTTTTATCAGGATTGGTTGTCAGCTTTTGGAGTTTTTGATGAATGTCTAAAGCAGATTGGGCTAGGAACTTGTCCTTTATGAGAGGTTCCTTCTCCTGTTATTCTGGTGTTAGTATATTTTCTCATGCCCTCTTGTAGGATTTTAGGGAGAATTACAGGTGTCTCTTGATCTTCCTGAAGGATAAGTGACAACTGGGTGTAATTAAGGAGCTTTACAACTTTCCTGAGACCCTCTCTGACACACTGAAGAAAATGGTTCCTTTTCCATTCACCTAAAGCCTCATTTAGTTTGCAATCTGGGGCAGTGCTGGGGTCTGCCTCATCACCAGTCAGAATGGTATCACTATTCGCTTGCCTGTTAGCTGTATGGTAATTATTTCACTTGTAAACCCCGATCAAGACTTTTCATTTTTCTAAAAGGTTAGTATTTGTTTTAGTGACATTATGTCTTTCCAAGTCAGTGTCATATTAAGTTTTTCAAATACCCTCACATATTGGTCTGGGTCCTCAGTATAGTTCCCTAGTTCTGTTCTAATGTCCCTAAATTCTGCCAAGGTGAAAGAATTATGAATCCAAGTGAATCCAAGCCTTCCTCCTGGGAATTCCCCTGGGAAGCATATGCCCTGTGGAGGTGGTAGTAGATGTGGAGCCTTTCTTCTTTTCCTCCTTGGAGTAAGGAGGACAAGGATATTCAGAATTCTAGAACTTTTCAACTTCCTGGAGGCCAGAGTAGAACTCTGGGGATGCACTTTGTACCGGCAAGCCCCCTTTGGGGGATGTGACCTGATTTAATTCTGCTTTTCTCCCAACTCGGCTTCAGAGTTTGAGCATACTGCGGCTAAAGTCTGCTGTCCATGAAGCACTTTTTAGCAAGCTTTGAATGGTCTCACAGGTAAAAGAAAAGTTGGATATAGGGAATTTCAGAGTTTTTTTTCCTTCTTGTTTACAGAATAGCTCTAACTGAAGGATTGCAGGATTGTACTATAGTTAAGAGATTCCCCTGGAGGCCATTTCTCACTAATCAGGTCATGGACCAGTTGAGAAAAAGATTAAGACTTTCTTTTTTCTTTTCTTTCTTTTTTTTTGGCAGGGGGGTTCTTTTTGAGACGTGGTCTCCCTGTAGCCTCAGCTGTCCTGGAACTCACTATGTAGACCAGGCTGGCCTTGAACTCACAGAGATCTGCCTGCCTCTGCCTCCCAAGTGCTGGGATTAAAGGCGTTCAAGACTTTCTTTGTAAGTACATATGAGTCTAACTTGCTCCAGTTTCCCAGGAGGCAAGTCAATGGGGAGCCTGAGGAAATCTTGGAGGCTTCTGTCCCCATCTTTAAAGTGAAAAAATATCTGAGAGATCTATGATGGTCTGCCAAATCCTTCTTTAAACTCCCAACCTACCATAAGAAGGAGATTTCTGTCCATCTTCTTTATCTGATGCTTTAACTTTTCTTCTCTGGTGGTGCTGCTCTATCTACCATGTCTGTGAGGCCAACAAATCTCCTTACTCATTGGTATGTGAGGACCAATGTGTACAACTCAATGACCTAATAAAAGGTTTGGAAGCGTATTACTGGTGTTACCAAAAGAACATGATATTCAAAAAAAGCAGACCATGGGCCTGGGGAGATGGTTCAATGGTTAGGGGCATTTGATGCTCTTCAGTAGGACTGTAGTTTAGCTCTTAACACCCACATTGGGTGGCTCAACAACCACCTGTACCTACAGCTCCAAGGCATCCAACATTCTCTTCTGTTCTCCATCAGCATCCACACACACTTGGCATATAGTCACTCAAACAAATACACATTATAAAAAGCATACCATAATTTATTCTGTTAATCAAGCATTATATATAAGTTTAATGAATTAACAATAGTAGCTTTCAGTGAGTTATTAGTTTTTAAAATTTATTCTATATGTATTAAAGTTTTGCCTCAATGTATGTAAGTGCATCCATGTATGCAATGCCCACAGAGACCAGAAAAGGGCATCAGATCCTCTGGAACTGGAGTTACAGATGGCTGATAGCTTCCATGTGGGTGCTGGGAACCAAACCTAGGTCCTCTGCAAGAGCATACAGTGATTTCAACCACTGATCCATTTTTCTAGGCCTTAGCGAGTTGTTTTATGAGCACCACAGAATGTTATGCTGACTAATAATTTCACTGCTGTACTTATTACTTTGTACTTCCAAAATATATTGGAAAAAAGAGTTAGATCCACCTGAAGTGATAGTATATGAATACACATGTTTCGTATTTAAGCCATATTGCATAAATGTGCAATTGTAAAAATCATGACACTGAGGCACCTGAGTGTTCACAGCCCCCATAGGCTTTCAGTGAGGTCTTGACTCAAGAAGAAAGAAAGAGAGAGAGAAAGAAAGTAAAGAAAGAGGCTAGTGATGTGGCTCAACTGGTAAAGGTACTGCCACACAAGTCTGATGACCTGAGTTCGATTCCTGGAACCCAAGAA